TAACATGAAAGAAAAAAAGAAGTTCTTGTAGCTTTGTGAGTTTTAAAAAGTAGCTTCTTTGTCATTATTAATTTAAGTCCATAGTGTACCAATGATTTTAACTGAATATATGCTTTCAGGGGTGCTTCACTTTGCTCAGGTGATTTCCATCCTGATGCAATACTTCGTAGGGAACAATGTCTAAAGAATGATAAGAAAACATTCTACAATGAGTTGCAGGTGTATCATAATGAGTACGTGAAGCTTTTCCACTTTTTCGTATAATACATATAAGACTGTTTTTGAAAGGCTCTTTTTCGCTAAAACATACCGTCACAATCTTTTTTATTGTTTTGTGGCAGTATGATTGCATATTTACAGAAGTTGAAGAAGAGATGCGCAAGCTGTAAGGATCCTGAACAGGAAATTGTGCAGAATATGTGGAGGTTGATGCTCACTGTGTTTTTTTTTTTCATCTCATAATTATGAGCTTAATGAATGTCAAGCCTTCCCTTTGATGCTCAACCAAGTACCATTTAATATGGAGGATAAATTCTTCTTCAAATTGTGTTTTTCCTTTCATTGAGTCATTTGTTCAGACTGCTTGAAGCCTTTGGGTGCTATTCTCATGGGTTATGCTTTATGCAGGTTAAGAAGTGATGTTGAGAAACAATTTTTTTCACATGCAAATGAATCCAGATCGCATGATCTTGAGGAAAATGCCATAGTTACATCTGAATCTTGTTCTTGGGAGAAAGCATGCAGTAGTGATAACCAGATTTCCTCAGTGAACAAAGGAGGAGATTTTCAGAACAGGTAATTCAGCTTTCCACGTTTAGTCATACCAGAGTGCCTTGTGCTCCAGGTTCATTTTAGTTTTCTTAAATTATAAACATACTTGGCTATGTCTACTTACTGTATGTTTAGTTAGACATTTCTATGATGATTTTGTTACATTTATCTATCAATTTACTTTGGACGGCATGAGATCTATGAGTTTCTATTGTGTTAGGATCCGTGAGAAAAGCTTCCTAAAGGACAAAGGTAGAAATTTATTGGTTACACCAGATGGGGCACATAATGCGGGAGGAAGATCCAAAAAAGGAGACAATCTACACAAGCGCAATATCTGTAGTAGCGATGGTGCTAAATACATGTCATATGTTAAGGTTGGTGTTCATTTGGTAATTCTGAAATAATAAAATTTTGAGATGGATTATGTAAGCCTGGGTAACCTAATCAGTCACCTCTCAGGCTTGAGTTTTAGGATCAGGTCCCGTGTTAAACTTCAATGGCCAGAGACACCTTAATGGCTTCTGAGCAGAGACTCAGAATTGTCATAATTTTCTTGTTAAGTAGGACAAATAAGTCAAGTCAACTAGAAAAAAGTTCTTTCACAATATTCTGGTGTTAGGATTTGAACACAATTATGTTTGGAAGTCAGTGCCTTGAAGTTGTTTATTTTAATGGGTTTTAATTTTACGTAACTGATGCCAACTAGCAGATATTTACATCCTTAATTTTTTTCTGTTTTATTTTTTGAGAAAGCAGATAATTTACATCCTTAAACCAACGTATAGACAAGACACTCCTCTCTCTATGTCTCTCTCTACACACAGAGCCATCTTTTTGCTGTATACTTGTTCCTCTGGGTCATGATATTGAACATTCTAATTTTAATGAGGCTCTTGCTGAATGTGTGCTTTAACTATTTCAGATTAGCACGAAGCAGTACGAAATTGTTAAGAGCCTGAAGCAGTCTGGCAAAAGCATTCAGTCCAGGTCTCTCAACCGGATATTAGGTAACCTTGATAGCTTTGAGGTACAACCATATGAAGTCTTTGTGGAAGAAGAACAGAAGAAGTTGCATCAGCACTGGTTAGTGTGGTGTGAAAAATATATTTTAATACTTTGGAGAAACATTTCATTGTCTGCCTTCTCAAAATATTGTCTTGTTGATACAGGTTGCAATTGGCAATTAAAGATATCCCGGCAGCTTATGCAAACTGGATTGAAATGCATTTACAAAGACGGCAAATGACAAACTCTTTGGAGAAGGACATGAAAAGGTGGCTAAAGCCCCTGATAGAGGTTTGTGATTCTGCCTTTATCTCCCCTCCCTTTTTTTTTTTTTTTTTTTTTCTGTTTGAGCCGATGTATCTTTATCAACCTGGTTGGTAGCCATCCATTTCTTAATGAACCGGAGTCCCTATTGTGGTATGATATTTTATGGCCTGGTTTGTGATGGGATGTTCAGGATGACAAAGGTGATCACAACCTTGAAAGCGTGCTTCAAGATAAGATAGCTATTGGAGCAACAAAGCATCAATCTCCCATGGAAGATGATGAAAAGTCTGTACCCAGTTTCCCACAGGGTGATGAGTGCAACCCCACAGACATGGAAGAAGATGACTATTCTCGAGAGAAGCTTACTGGCAGTCGTGAGTGCAACCGCACAGATATAGATTCAGATGAACATTTCAGTACAGAGTCAGATAATGATTCAGAAAAGCATATCATTATAGAATCAGATCATTCTCCTCCAAATGTACCTGATTATGCGGAGTATCTGAGTACTGCAGATACTGCGGGAGCACAATTATGTGCTAGTGGAGATGCCTGGACGGCAGTTAATGTGCCACATTCTTACAAGGATTCTACCACAAGTCATGCATATTCATCTGCCAGTGAATTATCGCTCGCACATCTACAAGTTAATGAAGTTCAACAGACACACTTAGTTGCTATGGAGTCTGACTTGCCTGTAGGAGACAGTGGGAAAGATTTATTGCACATACAATCAGAGAATGGTTCCTTCAGTTCTTACCATAACCAAGATCGAAATGAATTGCTTCAATCTCTCTTTAAGGGCCAGAGCATGCTATCTTACAATCCTGAGAAGAAACAGACAGGGTTGGATTTCCGGACACCAGCCAATGTGTTTATGGGTCAGTTTCCAGTGCATTTTGAAGAGCAGCAACACCAGTCACTGCCTCTGGAGCAAGGCCAGAAGAGAGAGAGCGAGGTTTACATGCAACCAAGATTATCTGAGAACGTTTACTCTGATGGAGGTAGATACTTAAATTCGAGGCCAGAACATCCGGCCCCAGTCGATGTGCAGGATTGGGCTGTCAATAGTGTTCGCATGCCAAGACCTCTACAATCTCACTTAGATGGTGGAGAAATGTTGAGTCATAATTGGTTTTCTGGTGAGCATCAAGTGCATGGTGGATGGTCGGCGTCAGGTGGTACTAGTGTCATGAGTCAGATCATTGCGAATGGAACGAATGCAGATCAAAGCTTATTCAGTGTTCTATCCCATTGTAACCAATTGCGATCAAGTAGCCCCTATCAGCACGTAGCCTCCACCGAGCAGTTCATTTCCTCTAGGAGCTATGGAACTGTGGGTGGGGCCACTCCAAGGATCGGAAATGTTGTACCACAAGCAGGTCATGAACTTGATTACTTGGGTGGGCGGGAAGCAGCTACTCCCATGATGCACGATGATATGCAATGGATGAATTTACCGCGTCAGAACTCTGGTTTACGTGATCCTATGGGAAAACCATTCTTGAGGTCGTGGAACCCGTAAGACAATTTTCTAGCATGGTAACGTAAACGGGAAATGTGAGTTGACAAGTTAGGGTGAGAGTAGATGGAAGTGCAGAGTTGGAGATAGGTTTTTGTACATACCTATACAAGGGCTATATATGTTAGATGGGGCAGAGGCAGATAGCAGCAAGCAGGGGTAGGGGGAGACCTGGGATTATTGGACAGTTCCAGGCATCTCTAATTTGTCTGTTAGATAGTCGGGATTCTTTTTTCTTCTTATTCTCTGTTTCTGGAGAAATATCGTTGAATAGTATTTGGAGGGTTTTAAAAGTTTTCTGTAGAGGCAAATGCTTTTTAAAATAATCAAGGCTCTCTCCTTCTCTCTTGAATACTAGCATATCGTGGTTTTGGTTGTTGGCTGGCATTTCCAAACTCTCTTCCTCTCATGAAATGTTGAATGCTTTTACCATTATCGTCCAAAAAAGATTTCTCAATATTACATGCTGTTTGAGTATGCCCCGTCACCATTATCATCCACTGAGATGATCAAACACGAGTCTCGTAGCCTCGTAGGTAGGTGGTGCTTTCTGGGGTGACGCTGTTTATAACACCAGCAGCTTTTGGTGGGCAACCTTGTTTTACAGTAGACTTGAGGAGGTGTAGACAGGTCCGTATGAATTGAACGAGAGGATTGATTCCCCGCGGACGCCTAATGATTTTATTTGCTAATTTTACTATAACAAAAAACGTCAACATGAATGCCAATTCCAAACCAAAAAAAAGGTCAATGTGAATTGAAACATAAACAGACAAAATGAAAGACATTTGTCACGAGAAAGATAAATGGAATTTTTTTTGGTTTATTGTTTGAAGAGAATAAGAAAAAAAAGGTCGTACCCAGTGTACAAGGCTCCCGCTTTACTTAGGGTCTGGGAGAGGTGAATGTCGGCGAGCCTTACCCCCATTTATGGAGAGGCTGCTCCCAAGTCTCGAACCCGAGACCTACCGCTCATGGGCGAAGGCACTTGCCATCGCACATGCCGGAAAAAAAACGTCAGCATTCATATGTTAGCACAGCACCTAAATCCAGTGACTCCATGCTGAAAATTAACAGCCCCCTCCAAACGAACAAAAAGGAGTCGAAAAATTAAACCTGCATTAACCTAAAAATTATGCGTATTTATTTATTTATCTTTGTGGTTTAAAAATTGCAGTTATAAGTTATGATTTTATTAAGTGTAGGGCCGCTAGATACAAGAAGAGAAGAGGATAAAGCGGAGGTGGAGCAGAAGAGAGGAGAGGTACTAAAAAAAGGGGGATCCCCCCGAATCCCAGATCAGACTTGAGACTTTAAAGACACACTATTGTCGGAAGGGAAATGTTTACAGGGTCGTCAGTCGTCAATGAGGAGAAAAATGTGGCGGCTGTTACACTTGGATTTCTAATATAGTCCCTGCCTTCTTCTTTTCTCTTCCCTTCCCTTCCCTTAAATGCATGCATTGAATTAGTTAGGCTAAGACTTACACGTACAAAGCTACAGACAAGACTTCCATTGTTTGCAAATACAACTGAGTTGAATTAATCTCAAAGCCAACGGCCCAACAAGAAGAGGAAATACAAAATCAAAATGGGGAAGAATGAGGTGATTCGGTTAGAGCGTGAATCCGCCATTCAAGTTCTCAAGCCCAAACTCATCATGACCTTGGCTAACCTCATCGGTTTGTACTTTGTACTTGTAATCATCTAATCATGCCATTGCCATTGCCTTTGTCTGTCTTCATAATATTTGCTAACTGGATCGAACCTTGTTCTCAAATATTCTCTAGAGGAAAGTTCTGATCGTGCTGAGTTTCTCAAGCTCTGCAAGAGAGTCGAGTACACAATTCGGGCTTGGTATCTTCTTCAATTTGAGGATTTGATGGTATGCATATGCGAAAATATGCTATGCTCCGGATCATCTTTTCACCTTTTTCCAGATATTATTCAGGCATTTCAATTATTCATTTATTTCCGATATCTTATTAAGTTTTGTTTGACATAGAATATTTGTCTATTCTATAAACATAGCAACTATACTCCCTGTTTGATCCTGTCCATGGGAGTCAGAAATTGGAGCAGCAGAAGCTTTCTCCTCAAGAAGTTGATGTACTTGAACAGAACTTCCTCAAGTACTTGTTTCAGGTTCTATTCTATGGCTGCTTCCCCTTCTTATTCTTGTTTCATTTCTATACACCCGCCGCCCCATACAACTAAAATAAACAAGAGAAAAAGAAACAGGAAATCTTCATTTCTATACTCCTTTTAGTTTTTATATGATACAGGTGATGGAAAAGAGTAATTTCAAGATTGCAACTAATGAAGAAGTTGAGGTTGCGCAGTCGGGGCAGTATCTTCTAAATCTTCCCATCGTTGTTGATGAATCTAAGGTTTGTATCGTACTCATCAAAATGTATTCCCTCCATCACTAGTTTCAGTTCAGTTATTGCTTCAGTGGAACTTTGGTTTTTATGGGATGCGATCCTCACGTTTGCTTGCTGATCCCAATATGTTATGTAGCTTGACAATAAACTTTTGAGGAAATACTTTGACAAGCATCCTTGCCCAAACATTCCAGATTTTGCTGATAAGGTATTTTCAAATACTGCAACAAACATCTGCAAGTTTCAAATCCCTTCCTAAAATTCGAGTGGGTGTTTATATATATCCTCATTTGATGTTGTCTTGCTTCAGTACGTCATCTTCCGACGTGGCATTGGACTTGATAAGACGGCAGATTACTTTATCATGGAGAAAGTGGACATTATCATTGCACGTTGCTGGAAATATCTTTTACGACTAACCAAGTAAGTTGCTTGCTTGCTTTAAATTTTGCCTGTTGTCTGTCATTCTTCTTAATTTCTGAATGGAATATTCGTATTTGTAGCTTGGAAACTAGTTATGATTAATAATCTTAATCCAACATACTTGAACAACTTCAAGTCACTTGACCAAGTATAAATTCGAAACGTCATTGTGCAGATAGAGTCTTGTTGATTATTTTGTTCCTGCAGGATGGACAAGTTCTTTTCGAAGAAGAAAAAGGCACAGCGCAAGAAGAAGAATATTAGCCTCCTTGACGAAGAGGACTTGTTTGTTGAACGAATCCGTCTTGAAAAAATGGAACTGAGGTTGACTTTTATATATGCCTTCTTCCCTTCATTTGGCAAAATACAACAGCAACTACAATGTTTTTATATATAAAAAAAAAAAAAAAAAATTGATTCCATGTGCATTCGACACGGATATACAAATAACTGGAGACGTTTCTTTTGACTTTCCTGCAAGCATGCCTTCGTTTCAATCTGATGTTGATTATTCCAACTTCATGACAAATATATGCTGTGTGTCCTTCAGCATTCAAAATTTGCTGTGCAAAAACACAATCCAAGAGCCAACTTTTGATAGGATTATTGTTGTTTACAGGTACTGCTTTTCTTTTTCATGAACTATCTTCTTTTGCACAAACTTTTTCGAAAGGACCTTGAAAAGTAATTTATTGACGAGAAGAATTATGACTTTTCAGGCGAGCAAGTGCCGAAGATAATGCAGAGCGGGGAATATATGTTAAACATTTCAAAAACATTCCAATGGCTGATATGGAGATTGTTCTTGTGAGTCTCTCTCTCTCTCTCTCTCTCTCTCTCTCTCTCTCTCTCTCTCTCTCTCTCTCTCTCTCTCTCTCTCTCTTTTCAAAAGATGACCCGAGTATATGGATTGAAACCTTTGGCCTTTTCACAGCCTGAGAAGAAGAACCCGGGATTAACTCCAATGGATTGGCTCACGTTCGTTGGCTCTGCTGTAGTAGGGCTGGTCAGTTTCTTGATAGCAGCAATAAAGTTTGTGTTGGTGCACTGTAATCTTGTCATTTTTTTAATCTTGTGAAAATACAGCTTAATCCTAATCACCATGTGTTTGTTTACTGCAGGTTGCAGTTATTACTTCGATTGAAATGCCTAAAATTGATGTTTGGGTCATGTTTGCGATTATTTCCACTGTGATTGGTTACTTTGCTAAGACATACTTCAGGTTAATTCTGTTGTTCTAATATTCATATTTCCTCAAATTGGTTGCTTGGGTTGGCACGTTTTCTTTCAATTTCAATAATATGCATCCCCATGGCCATACGTGTAGTTATCAGCAGAACTTGGCTCAGTATCAGAACTTGATAACACAGTCCATGTACGAAAAACAATTGGATAGCGGACGGGGTACTCTCCTTCACTTGTGCGATGATGTGATTCAACAGGAAGTAAGCCGCTACTTTCGGATGAATTTTGGTTGGACATTAATGTTTTTTTTCATTGGTGCAGCAACAAATTTTTGTTGAATGTTTTTGCAGGTGAAGGAGGTGATAATTGCTTTTTACATACTAATGGAACAAGGGAAAGCTACCGCACTAGTATGATATATCTCCTCTTGGATCTCTTCCTATCATAATAATATTGCAACAAATATGTAATATGCAGTAGTAACACTGCTGTAGTAGTAAAGGTGAATTGAAGTCTTATATATATGTATGTGTTGTAGGATCTGGATAAGTGGTGTGAGGAACTAATCAAAGAACAGTTTAACGACGACTGTAATTTTGATGTGGACGATGCAGTTCAGAAGTTGGAGAAATTGGGAATTGTAACTCGGGTAAGGCTTATGATGAAACATTAGTCCTATTACTGACTCGTTGTAATTAATTACCTATGGCTATGAATGAATTAGGATACCCTTGGACGATATAACTGCGTAGGGCTGAAACGTGCGAACGAGATCATTGGCACCACCACAGAGGAGGTTGTTCTTAAGGCAAAACAAGACTTCACGGCCAATGCTTGATATTTTGTGCTGCTGACAACTCAAAACTCACAAGTGTTTGTCATCTTTTAACTCCATTAAATTTGTTTCCTTGTTTGGAATTCCTAGTCACAGTTTGTTAATAATAAATGGCATACTGTCCTAGATCATCATTTCTTTTCTTTAAAATACTTTTTGGTTCAAGTAAAAACTAAATATAAAGGGCATGTTGAGAGGTGGTGTTAATAATAATATTGCAAATATTCCAAGCAAGCAACCACTCGACAAAACATGACAAGCTTTGATTGTAAGTTAATCTTGAGATTAGAGTGGACTTTACTTTGAGAAAGATCCAAGTTATCAATTCACAAATATTAGACAGTCCTTCGGTCACAGCCACAACGAAATTCCCAACATCCAATTTGAATTTCAAGCATTTTCCTGGTGAGGTTTTGGGTACAGTAAGCATTCACATCAACCGGATGACCGCATCAAACTTGACGTTTTCTTCCAATAAACGCTGCGGTGGATGAGCAGCTGCAGCGGGCAGGTTTGGGTGGTGTTCTCGCTCTGGTCAAAGTAGTTGGATGCTAGGCGAGTGAGGGTGTTGGGCTTGGCGAGGCGAAGCGCCTCTTGGACGCACTCGCAGTTGGACTGAAGCACTTGCCCCAACAGAAGCTGCTGCTGCCTCTGACTGGTGGTGGTGCGAATTGTCGTCGTCCTCCTGCAGCTGCAGCTGCAGCTGATCATGGTCATGGAGCTGAACTTTGGACCAAATCTCATTGTAGGATTGGCTTTGGACGGCGCGGGTGTACTCGTGGATGAGAATGGTGGAGGGCGACGCCTCCGAGCTCGTTGCTCCTGAAATTGTCCACCAAATTGTTAAAATTGCACTGAGAAAGCGAATGGCAAAGCCGGAGCAGTACCTTGCGATGGGGGAGGTAAATGAGGATGAGTATTGCCACTGGGAGGTGCTGTAGGTGATGAGAAGGAGGAGGGCGACTACAACGACGACGACGAATTCGGTGAGAAACATTTGCATTTGCAGCATCCTCTCCTCTCCTCTCCTTTCCACTCTATTACAATAATATTTAGAGAGTATGAAATGAAAGGAATCGCAATTTCTAATTCAGTCACTCATAAGTCTCTCTCATGAGAGTCTTAAGCATACATGACTACGCTTTTGTCTCTTCCAAAATTAAATGCCAAACCAAAACAGCTCCATCCAAATTCCAATTTATATTAACAACACTTCCTTACATTTTTATCAAATCACCCCTTCTTTCTTTATACACTTATCAAACACCACCTGATATATCTCCTCTCCACTTCGCTTCCCTTCTTTTCTCTTCTCTTCTTCTTTCATGTTTCACCAAGTAAAGGAAACCAAAAAAAGTATAACAATTTCCTTTTTCTTTTCAAAGAAGAACAAAAACAAAAAACAAAAAACTATTTCACAAATATCACACACTGAAAAATTTGGGGTATGCGATGCCATATGAACACAATGTCTTTTATTTTGTTGCTTTAAATAACTGACTTCCCGGGATCACCGTAGAGGTTCCTTCCCCCATGATTGTTGTCAAGCTCATCTCTTTCTCAACTATCCGGTCCAGCTCCATTACCACATGGCTCATGCCCGGTCGCCTCTCACTTGAAGCCTCCACACATCGCATGATCAACTGTATCAACCCTTCCATAGCTTCTCCTGTGAAGCTATTCCCCAACCTCTCATCGATGATGCACGATACATTGCTGCCCTCTTGAATATTTTGCACCTTTATACAAGACCCAACAACAATATTAAACAACTTTAGTTTAAGATTTTCACACGTTAACAAGAAATTACCAACGCATTCAAGATTCAACCGTGATGTTGACAAGTTGTAGCAATTAAACTTTTAGCTATCTATTATAAACAGTAACATTCACCTCAGCAAGTTTTTACTTTTTAGTGTACCATCCCCGGTCCTTCAAGAATGATCTAGAGAAGAGAAACTAATATATGCAAACATTTGAATGCATATATAGGATCACATGATTAATGCATTCCAACATTGTACCAACATTTGCAATGAGACAAGCACATACCCATTCAACCATGTTCTGGGTTGAGTCAGAAGATGCAAAATCTCTAGCCTCTCGCCCACTCACTAACTCCAGAAGGAAGACACCAAAACTATATACGTCACTTTTTCTGAAAATCGTCCGAACTCTCTGACCCTGCAAAATCAAACGGAAATTTGACTAAGAATGATAACTATTCTCAGCAGTCACTTGAAGGTTATATGAAACACCGAGAACCAAAAGAGCAATAACCTTCAACACCCCCCTCCCCCAACCTTATCCAACAAAAAGAGAAACAAAAACAAAGAGAGAGGGAGAAACTATTACTCTGGAGCAAGGAACATCTCATCAGCAGTCACTTGAGAAGACGAGCCTGCAATATCAACTCTTCCCAGGAAATTGCGAATTCCTGCATCTGCAACCTTAGCTATGAAGTTTTCATCTACGAGAACATTGGCTGTCTTAAAATCCTTGTGCACCAGACGGGGACTCAGAGAGTGAAGATGAGCCAAACCTGCAACCAGAGCAGTTTAATGAGTGCTAACAAATAGGAGAGCGTTGCTTCCAGACTTCTCACAAAAAGAAGCTGGATCTTTGAAACAAGTGAAAGTCTTACAGTTGCTGACCAAAGAATTTGAGGGACCAATACTCATATTCGGATATTTTGTCTAAAGAGATGAAAACCTGATACCAGGAAAGCCACAAATGCTCACTGATTTTGCAGATGATCACCTTTAGCGGCCCCTTGAGCTATTGTTAGACGATTCTTGAATTCTAGCTTTTCACGTGAATGCTGACCAGTGCCTGCAAAGAAAAAAATTGAAAAACTCCATATGCTCAAATTTAGGCATTATATATGCAACAATTGCAAAAACAAAAGGGTATAATTTTGACTCACGAATTAAAAAATGGGGGATAGAGAGTTACCGTACAAGTGACTGGAAACACTTCCACTATGAATGTACTCGTACACAAGAAACTGTAGATTATTTTCTTGGCAGTAACCCAAGAGAGTAACAATATTCCGATGCTGAATAGCTGAGAGATAGTGTACCTGATATAATATTCAGTCCAGTTAGATCAACCATGATACAATGTTCAATGCAAAAACACAAATAGGAATTCAAAGAGAGAAAAAACTAAAGCATATACCAGTCCATCCAAGTTGGTAAGGAAGAAAAATGAAGCTTCAAAAGAAAAATCTCATTCAAAATTTACGACTTGTACAAGGAGTTTTTTGTTCTTATGTTTTTGTTCAAACAGCATATAGTAGTCACTCTTCAAATATATACATATAAGTCAATGCAAACCCCTGACACCTTAAAACAAACTCAAAATCACATATAATACTCGAATGCCGTTAAAGAAGAAAACCGTAATCCATCAAGAGACCTTGTAAGATTAGGACGGTGATCATTACCTCATTGATAAATTCCTGACTAGCTGTTCCAGGTCGCTTTTTGATGGCTACGAGCATCCCATCCTGGAGAAATCCCATATACACCTCCCCAAATTTCCCTTGCCCAATCAAATTTTTGTCACTGAAATTTTTGGTGGCCAGAGACAGTTCTTCCATCTGAAAACGCCTTGTTTCTCGCATTGACAACTCAACCCCACCATGTCTTCCCACTGCGAGTTATCAAAACAGATAATCAAAAGGTTGTTCTTTACACTACACTAAGTGTGTTTCCCCTAGGAAGAAAACATATATGACATAAGACTGATGAGAATCACCTTGAACAGAAGGATCAGAAGAACCCGTTTCAGAAGTTCTTGAAACACTCCTACTGCGAGATATACAGAACCATATGAGTAAGATACTTATCCCCACCAAAGCCACGGCTCCTGCAGCACCTCCTAATATTGCTGCAAGAGACGCTGACATTTGGTATGGGAACCACTTCAACTATGCGGGGTAGTATTGTTGTAAAACGAATTATCATACATTGAACCTGGAATACAGAGGATACAAAATTTAGAAGATGATAATCTACAGAAGGTGTCCATAGAAAGCAAGTGAATTTAAATCCATCAGATCTATCTATTTCTTTTCAATTCCTGTATCCTTATCATTGGTCCACAATTAGATATCTAGAAAACAAGTTGGGCAGCAAGTTGTGAGACAAGGATTGAGAATCAAGGGTGCCAGGCAAAAGCAGTGTTTTGGAAAAAGCAAATCAGACGTGAAAGTTGGAAACTTTAAATCATTAGAAATCAAAGTCAGAGCCTTTAAAATGCCAACTGAGTAGCAGTATATCTATAAGGCCATATAAACAATTTATTTGATTTAAACGCAGATAAACACAAACAGAAATGGTAGTAACAAAATATACCTGTAGTCCTAGTCCCAGTCCCAGTCCCAGTCCCAGCGAAGGAAGGCAGCCGGATGTCTAAAAACTCGAACTTCATTTGCCAATACTACAACAACAACAAAGGCAATTGCCACCCAAATCCAATTGAAATTTCATGACATAAAAAGTTGCAGGCAGGAGATATAATTACAGTAAGAAAAGAGGCATGTTTGAATGGAGGAATGAATGAATGGAAGAATATGCAGGTTGAATGGAGGAATGAATGAATGGAAGAATATGCAGGTGGAAATCAAAATGTGAAGAGAAGAGGAGAAGAGACGGGAAGCGGAGAAGCATCAATTCGGGTTGTAATTTGGATATTAAAGGGAAATGCAATCAGACATTCAAATATCAATATCATCGTTGGATACAGACAATGGCGACAGAAAGTGACCTTGCGCCGACAACACTTGTACTGCTACTTCTCCCTCTCTCTCTCTACCAAACCACCTAAACTCAACTTGATCAGTACAAACTCATCGTATACTAATATAACAAACCAAATTAAATACAAATTATATTCTCTTTCTCTCTCTCTTGAATTTTGATGATGATGGATATATAATTATAGTTGTAGACTCTAGTTCAATCAATCAAAGAGCCAGACGGAAAACCCACCCCACCCCACCCCAGGCAATTGCAATCAACCCACCAAATGTTTATTCTCAAGCACCAAAACAATACAATAAAGGCATATGGATCAAGTATGAACCAGAATAAGAGAGAGACAGAGAGAGTGCGTGTCTGTCAGTCTCTCTGTATTTATATTTTATCTTTCTTTTTTTTCAAAAAAGAAAAAATAATAATTGAATTTAGTGTTTTTTTTTCTTTTTT